ATGGATGTTTCCTTTCATAGCAGCATGATTAATCGGAAGTAGCTCTATCTCTAATAATGAAATATTTTATTATTTACTTATTAATGTTAAACTCATATCAGTTGTGCTCAATAATTAATGAATTAGTCTTCATTGACATTTTATATTTTATTACATAAAATGTCTCCTCCGTTGACTATTACATCTCCTCCGCGGACAAGGCAGAATTTAAAATATTTTAAATCTTCTAAAAAATAAAATAGAAAACTTGACCATTATTATAAGGACATATAACAAAAATAAATAAAGGCATTTATGTAATTTTTATCACTTTTTTAATTACTTTTATTACTTTTTTAATTACTATTTATACCTTTTCAGTGAGAATGACCCCTATATTATTTTTGAAAGAAAAAAAAATCCTTTTCGGTTTCGCACATATTGGATTTTTTGCTAGTAAATTTTAAAAAAATGCAGTTTTTAAAATTATTTAATTTGTCAATTTATCCTTTCTAGTTTTGTGTTTATAACTGAAAATAATTAAAATACAGTTTGTTTGACGATATAATGGCATTAAACTTTGCTTGTAGGGGCCAAGAAAATATGTATATTAAAACTTCGCAAAACAGGCGCAGAGTCTCTATTCAGATTTTTTCACTCTCGTGAGTTGGAATTTTTGATTGACGATAAATTCTGCTCATAAGGGTCAGAAATCGATTGAAGCTTGTGTCATTCAGCACAGACCTTCTATTTAAATGTGAGTGCTCTAGCTTGTCAGAAAGTGATCAACAATCTGCTGGACGATAAATTCTGTTGGTCAGAAAAAGGATTAAAACTTGTTTTTTCATCATGCATAGTATTTTAGATCAAATTTAGAATCGCAATTATGATTATTAGTAATATCACAATAAATTCTGCTTATAGCAATCAGAAAAAAGGACTTAAAATTGCATTATCGTCATGCGCAGATGGGGTCGAAAATTAGTCCAAAACTTCGATTGCAAGATTCCACCCTCACACACTTGAAAGAGGTAGTTAAATAATATGATGGGACTCTATCAATTAGACAAGTTTGCCGAAAATTTTAGTATTTTATAACTGTTTCATTTGAATCTAAATAATTCTGTTTAAAATACATTAAGAAGACAATTATTCGCAATGTCACATCAAATTAAAGTATTTTATAACCATCGTTGAACAGCCGATCCAATTTTGCGTTTACAACCACTCATGTTCAACTCCGTAGTCTTGTCCTTCTGAACCCTATCCGAAAGACAAGGTAGCTCCTGGATCAAGTATTGAGAGAAATTTGCCTTTGATGGAACTAAGCCGCATGGAGAGGAAAACCTCCCACGGTTACCCATGATCCGTCTACTACTAAGGATGTTTTACACATCAGCACTGAGGTCGGTGCGAAATTTGTTGGGATTCGAACCCAGTTCACCTCGCTGAGCCACCACAAGCACCCTTTCTCATTAACTCGTTTGTAGAAGAGAGGTCGAAATCTCACATCGTTTCTGTACCAACTCCTAAATACCAATTATAAAGAAACTTCATAGTTTAAGTAAGAATAGATTCGTTATTTGAATTTATTGTGGCACACAGTTTTATACACTTAAATATGATATACATCTCGTTGTAGAATGAACTAGATGCTAAAATATTTATTGAACATCTTAATGTTTCAATCTAATATTAAAAAAACTATTTCTATCTAAATTATTGTTTAAGCAATAATCTCTTTAATCCAAGAAATGGACAGTTTTGGCGATATTAAACACCATGCAGGTCGATTAATATTTGGTTACGTTTTATTAATAATTTGTTTTTAATTTAAACCAAGTGATAGTAATTTTGATAAAAGTTTTGTGCGATGGATCAGGTGATAGAGCATTTACTTTCCAATGTGGCGAACCGGGTTCCGCTTGCACCGACATACAGTGCTGGCATAAAATATCCTCAGTGGTGAACGGTTCACGGATTAGAGTCCCCTTAACGTTGGGCTAACCGTGCAAGGTTTTCCTCTCCATGTAACGCAAATGCGGGCTAGTTCCATCAAAAGTCCTCCATGAAGACAAATTTCTCACAATACTTGATCCAACAGTTCGCTTATCAGGTTGAAAATGACAAGGCTACGGTAGTCGTAAACCCAAATAATTAAGTCGGCATTTCAACGACGTTCATTAAATAACAGTTTTGGGCAATAAAGTATGCATTTCAGAGTGAATTTTATTATTTTTTTAAATATTTTTATTTAATGTACCTTTTAATAATTCATATATCAAACTTCTTATTGCTCATCATTGTTGCTAAAATCAATAACAATCACTATTCTTTTTGTTTTCCTTACAATAATATTAAGTGTGAGGTTGAATACTTTTATTTTACTTAATAGAAAAGTACACTTTATGATGTTACTTAACACTAATTATTGCGATATCTTTTAGATAATAGCTAGTTAATGTTATATGCAATATGACGCAGTTTATTATTAGTAATGGAAAATTTTGTTATCGTTAAAAAGTTTTTCCAATTGGGTAAGTTTAAAATTAAGAATAAAAATTACATTTGCCATATAAGAGTTTCATCACATTTATGAAGTTTTCATTGGAAAAGAATAGGATTAAAATTTAAAATATATCTTTATTTTAAAATAAACATATATTTTAAAGCTGCAGATTTTCATCTTACGTCATTTAAAGGAAGTTGTTTTCCTAAAGAACACCCGTCGCATTTTTTTTATTTTTTAAATAATACGCTGTTAAAATTAAAACAAATTTTGTTATCAATAATATATTTTACTATACATATATTTTTTTATTATTCTCAATTTTTACGTCGATTTATACTCTATTATTAATTAGTACTTTTATCATAAACATTTTTGAAAACAGCAAAATAAAGAATAACGAAGCATATGGTTTTCAATCTCTCCTATGTCTATATCTAATGTTCATATCTATATGTTCATGCGTTCAAATTCTAAAATCATGAATAATTTTTTAATCTATTAAAAAAAAAATTTCGAAGGAAATTAAAAAGAACACAATATTAGCTTTTTGATCAGAGTTCAACCAAAAAAAATTTTTTTGCCTAGAAACTTAAAGATATTTTTCTGTTAACAAATAAAACTTTCCGAGCTATCCTAAAATATTGAATGAAAAACTTTGTTTTTATTTTTAACTGCCTCAACTTGATTGTTTAGCGACAGAAAAGAATTAGATATCGCTATCTTGAATTAGTTTATGGTTATCTTAATTTATTCCATTTGCGGAGGTGACAACACGTAGCTGTTTATTGGGACCATCGTCCAATACATATAGCTTCCTATCCCCCTCCTCAAATTTTTTCGAAGTTTTGTCTAACCCCCTTATTTTGAAGGAAAGGAATCTGAATAAGAAAAAAATATGTTTATTCAAAAAAAAGTACATTTTTGTGTTTGATTTCATAACTACAATTAATTAGCTACAATAATAGTTTACAACAATTAATTAGCATATTTGAGATCAACCCCAGAAACCAGTAAGATTGACACTTACAACGTGAAAATCAGATCATTTTGAACGAAAGTTATTCAGAGTGATATCTTTTTTTATTTTGCGTACCGTACATAGGTGTGCAGCACGCAAAATTACCACCTAGAATGTTTTTTTATCTAATGATCGGATTTTCACGTTCTAGAGCTCAATCTTAAAGGTTCGAAAGGATGACCTGAAATATGCTAATTAATTAGTGCAGACGCTATTTTAAATTACTCAATCAGACATAAAACGTACTTTTTCAGTAAAAAAAATCTTTTTCTCTATGGATTCAGATTTCTAACTCTCACAATATAGGGGGTAGTACCAATTTGGGAAATACGGTCCCAATCGATTTAAAGTTTGGACCCCTTAATTTTCTTTTTGAGTATTTTGAGAACTTAGTAAGCGAATGGAAAAAATTTCGCACGCAATTATAAAATTGGTTTGCCCAAAGATAATTCCATGCAAAATATAATTTTTAGTAAACATTTATTATTTTTTTATATCAAAATACAACATTTAAGCGTAATTGGTAAAATACTTCCTCAGAAAACGAATTTTGAAAATAAATTATTTTAAAGTAAGCATTTTTACATGGCAAAACACAATTCACACGAAATCGGTTAATAGGTCCTGAGATTTGATTTCTCAGGGCCTATTTGACCAATTACACTCAACTTCTATACTTTGCCATTTAAAATAGTATTCTTTAAAATGATGTAAAAAATTTTATACCTAACAATTCAAAAGTTTTTCAACTATTATTAAAGAAAGTAATAAAAATTATAAATATTTACTAAAAGTTATATTTTGCATGGAATTGTCTTTGAATAAATGAATTTTATAAATGTGCTCAAAAAGGTTCTCGTGATATCGTGAAATTTGCAGAAAGTAAAATTAACATTACGGTGTTAGATCTCTCTCCTGACCAAACTATTGGGAGTCAGAAATCCGAATCCGTAGGGAAAAAATAGGAACGTTTATTCAGAGAAAGTCCTTTCTGTGCCTGATTTCGCAACTTAAAATACCGTCTGGTCTGCACTAATTAATAAGCATATTCTAAATCATCCCTTCGAACCTTTAAGTTTGAGTCCTAGAACGTGAAGATCCGATCATTAGATCAAAAGTTATTCGAGGTGGTATGCTTCTTTTTTTTTTTGCTACAATGAGTAATGTGCAAAAAGAAAAGAAAAAAACAATTTAAACCCTAAATGTTTCAGGAATTCTCGTTTCAGGATTCAATCTTAATGGTTCATGAGGGTGCTTTTAAATATGCTACTTAATTAGAGAAGACGATATTTTAAATTACAAAATCAGACACAAAAACATACTTTCTCTGAATTAACTTCTATTTTACGATAGATTCGGATTTCTGACTCCCAAAATCCAAAAGTTATATCATGCAAAAAAAATAGCTTTTGGTAAATATTTTTATTATCATTTAAATTAATAGCAGTGGAAAAAGTTTAAAATGTAAGGTGTTTAATTTTTTACATCACTTTAAAGAAGGCAGTTTCACACAGTAAAATACAAATTCGAACGAAATCAAATCGTCAAAACAATACGTTGACAAAGGGTTTGAGAGCTTTCTATAGCATAATTCTTTGTCATAACCAAACACTTATGATCTTTATGAACAATAATTTTTTTTTCTTTTTGCAGAGTAAGAATCAGAAAACTTGTTTAATCTTTTACTTAAGAATGACAAAAACAAGAGGTTTTATAAATCATTTATTAAGGTTTTAAATATATACAAATAATTTAATTCAATAAATGTACATCAAAATGCTATTTTAATTGTAGAGTTTAATCATCAAAATATTTATAGATGTAAATGAGCAAAATCATTTGTTCTTATCACAAAATCTTCTTTCAAGCACAAATATGAATTTTTCTTCCCTTTTCAACAAATTAATTTATAGCAACTTAAAATTACTTTTATTTCCGTTAAATATAAAGAAATCCTTTACTAATAGAGTTTCAAATTAAATATAAAAAAAATCCCTTACATTATATGTGTGCAATTGAATCACTATTAATAACATAAATTAATAAAAAGCATTTCACTACAAAAAAAAGTAACAAATTACAATAATTTTTCTGAAGTCATGCAACAACAAGGTTAAAATATACAGACAACATGCAAAATCTTACATACAGTCTGTATTGCCTTAAAAACGAGAATTTGATTATTTCAGCACCAATTTAGTTGAAAGCAGTTGAATTGTCAAAATCATAGGTTATATCATTGTCGATATAAACGTCATAATTTACAAATTAAGTTTTTTCCAGTTAAAAATTTATTGCAAAAAAACGTAACAATGTAGAGGAACATTTGTCATTAAAAGAATACGGCATAATGATACATTGTGTTGATGATGGTCGTAATGCGTTTCACAAGTTCCTTGAATGGGGGCCTTCTTCTAGGGTTGTCATGCCAACATTCAAGCATCAGGTCATACCTGAAATTCCAATACATAACTAATCATTAAAAATTAGGGAAGAAAAATAAATAATATGACACAAAATTTTAAAAAATTTAACTACAGTGATCCCTCATTTTTCGCGGCCAATGGGGACCAGAACCTTCCGCGAAAGCTGAAAAATCGCGAAGTAGGATTTTCCCCAAGGAATTTTCGTGTATGTGGTTATACGAATGTTTTAAATATGTAAACAGTATTTATAATTTACACATTTAAGACAAAAATTACAATAGTATACGTATTTACTTAAACGTGTCAGTGCTAATTAATAAGGTTGATTACAAAACCTTATACAGTAATAAACATTAATCATTGCTTTCTGAGAGAGGCCAAGAGTCTTGTGTTGGTGGCAGAGGAGAGGATCTCACTTGACTCGAAGCTTTAGGCTCACTCAAAGACTCTTCTGCTGAAGGAGCTGACGGTAGAGCCGGGAGCTTTACCTTGGAGAGAAACATGGAGCTGGGTAGTTGTTGTCTTTGTTTTTTTCTTTACCTTCAAAATTCCCCTGTACAAGGACATAACCCCATCAACGCGATTGCTGAACTCGATAGCTCGAACCATATTGTCGTCGATGTCTTGTGCAAAGTGTTTCATCGCTCTTGCCATGTTGCAGATTCTCCAGGGTAAGGCCACGCTTTTCAGTTTCTCCTTCGTCTTCCTCTTCGTTTTCTTCCTTACTTGCAGACTTTGTCATCTCAAAGAGGTCTTCATCGGTCAGTGGGTCGGAGTAGCAATCTATAAGGACGCTGATGTCTTCTTTTGTCATGTCAACAAATCCTTCATTCCTTATGATGTGAGCCAGTCTCACCGCCATCTCCACCGCTTTATTGAAGGTTATTGAAGCAGTTTTGCGGATGTTTGCTTCCTCTTTCTTGATGTACTGCACTGTAGATTCATTTACCCCATAATGGCGTGCCACAGATGCATAACTTCTACCCTCTTTGATCATATCTAAAAGTATCCACTCGTACTCTTATTGGCAGATGTCGCACAGGAAAAAAAATCATGCGCCTTTATGAGAGACCATAATATGAGAGCTCTGAGTCAACTCATCTCTTTGTTTGACATGCAGGGATCTTTCTCTCTTGCGGATCAACGTGAAACAACGCTTCTTTCCGCAATGTGGCTGCCGACATGGTAGTATTTTTTCATTTTTATTTTTTGATGAATATTTTGGAAAAATCCGCGAAGCACTGAAGTTGCAAAACATGAAGCGCGAAGTGGCGAGGGAATACTGCATATTCATATTTAAGTAGAAATTTTTTTATAGAATTTCAGAGTTAACTCGTCCAAGGTTTTTTTCTTTAATAAAAAAATTCTAACTAAATTATTTCTATTTTATTTATACCATTAGACAAGTTGGAGATTCTTTTTTTAAATTTCACTTTTTTATTTATAGTTACATTTTGTACAAATCCAGCTTTTGTAAAGGGATTTCTCCTTTTGACTTCAGTGATTTATTTCTCTGCTATTTGTTCACTCACATCTTTTATCTAGAATCTTTTAATCTTTTTCTTTTCTAGATCAACATTTCTTTTTTATATGCTTTCCTCTTCTGGAACTCAAATTGTATTTAGTATTTTTTCATTCATACGTCTGATAGACAACATATATATATAAGTTGTTTTCTCAGTTTATGTGTTACGGAAGCTACTGCAACTTGGTTTTAACAATGATACTTAAAAACGTCCACTATGTTTAATCTAGCATCCATTTCCTTTTGCTGTTGTAAAGAATGTGATATAAAATGAAAAATTTAAGTATCAACTGTCCTATAAAAGGCTACTCTTTAAAAAGAGTATTTCAGTTTTGCATCCGTATCAGTCGACCAAACTGAACTCGATCGACTTCTCAATAGAACTCGGAAACTCTCGAAAAAAGACATCCATTTCAATGACTGTTGGGTAACTTTATCGATTCTTCGGGAGTCATTTTTTAAAATCTGGATTTAAGTAATGGAGGAAGAGCAAATTGTAATATACCCCTTATATTAAAGACATCTAAAAGAGGCTATATAATGTTACTACACTTCAAAGCAATTCCAAAAATAACCTCTCTTTTTCGAATAGTTTGTAGTTCTTTATTAAAAATCATATCTTTTAGAGAAATTAAAACTTACTTCCAAAAGGGTAAACTATCTCTTGTTCCTTGTAGCTTTAATATCAAGATTTTTTTTTCTTTGGTAGAATGAATGGAGAAAACAGTCTGGAAGTACCTACCAACCCTTACTTTTTAAAATGTAAATGACTTTACATGTTTTCAAGTTTTAATCCTAATTCAAACACTATAGTGTTTTAATAAGTAGAATAGGGTGTTTAATACATTTCAAATGAATTCGTAAAAAATCCCTTTTGCTGTAGTATCAGGTGTATATTTTAAATTATATTATGACCTACAACGTCGGTTAGGCTGAAACACAACAAAAAATCAAGATGTTTTTATCTGAGCAAGTCAGAAGAGCATATCCTTAAACAGGCACATGCATGCCTTACCGTGAACGATCGAAATTGAGAGAATGTGGGCTTTCGCTGGTGAATGTCGACGATCACGTAGTCGCTTCGGTGAATGTCCGAAATGTTTGTTGTATGCGATTTGATGTTCATTTATTCGATATTTTATTATCTGCGGAGGCCAGATTAGGAGAACCATCAGTGTTTCAAGTACCAGTTAAATGCATACCGGACAGTGGCACTTAAAAAACATTGATGTAGGGCATACCGGGCAGTGGCACTTAACTAGACCTAGTATATATTTCGGACATTTACCGAAGCAACTGTGTGATTGTCAGCATTCATCGGTGGAAGTCAACAACCACCGAATTTGGTCATTTACAACAACATGGATATAAGTTGTTTTAAAAAGGTACAAAACTTTAATGTCTATTTTTAAAATGCAGAAGATTTGAATCTCAGAGCAGAAGATAAATCCAGAAAGTTTTTGCAAAATAAATGCAGAAAAGTTGGCAGCTATGTAAATATACTAACTGGTTTTTATAAGGGTTCCTTTTCTATAGTGTATGATTAGCTACAACTGGTTCTTGCATCTATCTAGACAGGCTCTAATCAGCCTCTAATTGTGCCATCTATAGTATTAATTTTTAACAAAACTATATTTTCTTGATAAAATTTGGAAAAAACATTTATTTTTTTAATAATAGTGAAAATAAAGAGACTTTTTAGAATCTCATAGTAATAAAAAGGATTTTTAGGGAAGAACTTAAAAAAATAGAGACCAAGGAAAATAGGGAACTACTGGTAGTCCTGTAAATATCACACATGGAAACTATTTGGTAAACCTCAGAAATTTCTACAATTTTAAAACAAAGGAAAATATATTTTGAATATTATGCTAAAAACTATTATTATAATCTTTGCCTTTTTGTTTTGTTTGTTATATTTTGGAACTTCATAATTTTGATCTAGAAGAATAAGACATTGGTTTAAATGGCCGAGCTTCGGATGTTATTTCCAATTTTTTGCATAAAAGTGCTGTTTTTGTGAAAATTCTTAGAATTTCTGAAAGCATCTTTGTGTTTTGGTAAAAATTACAAAAACAAGTGGTCTGCCGAGACTCTTTGTAAAGTTTCCTAATTTTGTTAAATATTATTTAGTTAGAAAAAATTTTTTATCACTTAATTATTTGGCAATATTACTTCTTTAAGTTTCCAAGTAAATGATATATTGAATAACACACTAATATCACTGATAGGGAAAAATTTTGATATTTAAACAATATTAAACAAACAAAAAAATTTAAACTCAAACAATATTACAGTACAATGTACAATAAGAACAAATCATTAAACATTTTTGTTAGTGTTAACTGACACTCTTTGAATGCAAAATATCTTACCATTCATGTCTGCAATTTGGCCATTCTAATCTGTAACCATTCTTTAAAAACTCCAATACATTTGATAGTCCTGGGTAGGGTTCTTTACCAAAACGGAAGACTTCCCACATAAATACACCAAAAGACCACCTGATATAAAAAATATCTTACATTACACTATAACATAATAAAGTTATTCTTAATTTTTCAAAAATAATAATAAATGATTTAGTGTCAATTTCTATCAAGAACAAATTCGAACCTTTTGGAGTTATAAGGGTCAAAATATTTTATTCAGGATTTATACTCAAAGAAGAAAAAATGCAGTTGACCCTTGTGGTTTAGGTGAAAATGGACACTAGATCGTAAGTGCACAAAAATACTGTAAATATTAAGTTGTAGCTGAAAAAATACCTGACACATCTTAAGAAAGCAATACCTTAACAAGAACACAATAATTAGTAAAAACGCAACTTTTTTTATCAATACATAAACCCTTTAAATTAATAGGAGAAAAATTCATTAAAAGTAATATACTGGTTAAGAGCTGCTATTTTTGATAAACAACACGCATCAAGATAACGAACCACATGTTTTAAACCAAAAAAGATCAACAAAAAGAGTAAGCACAATTTTCTAACAAGAAAAATAATGATAGATACATTTAATATATCGTTTAAAAAAACAAAGAAGACCGTAATTTACGACAATTTATGGGGCTATATCACAAGAAATTGTTTTATGGTAACATCAATTAAAAAATTGCTTTAAACTGTTTTTTTGAAACTTTTCGAAATCAAATGACTAAATTCCTGTCGCTATATAACGGTTTAATGTGGATGTTCTAATGGACAGAAAAGTAACATAATGTCTATGCAACAGAACTTCATGTATCTTTAATAAAGGTCGTACTAAAGAATGTAGACTGCATCATAACAAGAATTAAACTTTATACAAGAATTTAACAAGATTAACAGGAAAGAAACACTAATACACCTATTAGACATTAAAAGCATTTTTTAAGAAAAAGGAAATATAGAATGAAATTAAGTCATTTATTAAAAAAGATATACACCAAGAAGAACATTCACACAACAGGATTTCCACTCAATTTTAAGAATATATTTCCAAGAATGTTAAAAAAATCTCATTTTTGCTAAACATTTTTTCTATTCACTGAGCAACAAAACTTAGTTTTTGATCTAAAACATCTATTGAATATTATATTTTGTAAGAAACATAATTTCCCAAAGTGAAGGTTTACTAATATGTTTAAAACACAAAAATATATGAAGAAAACAATATTTTGCACAAAAGCGGGGAAAAACTCACTCTGTAATATAGTTATTATTAACAGTATATTAACTAAAGCATAATTTCATTAATACAGGGTGCGTAGCCAAATCTTTGAATCAAAAATAAGCACTTTTTAAAAACTTTTCAAGCACTCAAAAAATTCATATTAAATCAATGATATTATTGAAAAACAAAAACTTCTTATAAACAGTTTTAGCGTTAAAAAAATAACAAAAAGAAACGGGCGTAAATCGAAACAATCAGTACTTTCCCACATCACCGAGTGAATTCAACTTGACCCTGAACTCAGAACAAAAGTACCCTTACCCCCTACGTCAAAAAAAGTCTTAGAAGTAAAATAAAATAAACAAGAACAAAATTAAAATAAATTAAAAAGAAAAACATTTCATAAAGATCTGATATTCTCTATCCGAATTGGAGCACTCGGGTTTCGGTTTCAAGTGTGCGCGCATGCGCAAGTCATAATGTGGGTACGACATGAAGTCCGCGAGAATGATTACGCAGCAAACTCCCCATTTTTCGTGAAATGCATGGGATCCACCAGATATCACTGAAGGGAGAAAAAAAATTTTTCGAAAAAAAAGCACTTTTTAAAAACGCCAGCTGAAAAAAGCACATTTAAAAGCTTTTAAAAACGAAATCCCCAAAAAAGCACCTTTAAGTACTTTTTACAAACGCTACGCACCCTGTTAATAGTTTATCAAGAGAGAAAAATAAATTTAAGGAAACAAAATTTTTACAAAAAATATTATTTTTAAAGTAAATTATTAGTAGTTTATTGCTGCAAATATTTAAGAAATTTTTTCAATGAAATACAAGAAGTTTTAGTTTCCAGGATTGTTCAAGGTTTTTCCCAGGCAATAACTGGTAACTCTTAAACTTTCGAAGAAGTGGAATTTAAACACTAAATGGAATAAAATAACGCTAAAATCATTGCAAAGGATCCTAAATCAAAAAATTAATATTTTAATTATGCTAATTATCGCATTTGTATGATGAATAAATTAAGGAAGTTCATAATGGGATATTTAAAAATAAATTAAAGAAATTTTATAGTTTAATTAAAGAATAAAATTTTGCTGTCTTCAAATGCATGATATGACGACCCTAAAAGCATCATTATGATGACACTATTCTGTGGGATAAACACTTTATGTTTCAACTCTATTCGTATTTTAAAATTTAGAGAGTTCAGTTCAACTTAAAGCAGTGGTCGGAAGTAGCGCACTACAAGTAATGTGGTTTGGTACTTTTTTTTTTAAAAAAAAGTAGCGTACAGAGGAGTAGTGCGATATAAAAATAAAAAACAGTCATTTGTAGCGATTCCTGGCAACCTTATTCTAACATTAGTTTAGAATTGTAACACAGCTCTAACGAAAGTCATTTTTCGAATTTGATGAGTAAAAATCATAACGGGTCTGTCAATGGATACAATGAAAATTACCTTATGGCTGGAACTGAGTGACTTACAGCGGTGGAGATGTTTTCGGTTCATAGGTTCTTTAAAATCACAACGTCAACAATCAGATATATATACGCAAGCGATACAAGTGTTCTCCGGGGTGTATAGTAAAATCTTTCAACAAAAAATAAGCACTTTTTAAGCACTCAAAAAATATTTTTAAGCACTGTATACATTAACAAAATGCAAAATAATTTTCAAAGACTTCAGATGATCATGAGAAAATAACTAGCTTCTGATAAGATTATATTAACCGTTATAAAATGTTCGAAAGATATTTCGGTTCGATATCAGGTGGAAAATTAAGTCTGAAATTGAGAATATCTTGCAAAATGCAGAGTTGCACATGAGCAGGCAATAATCTCACCGAACCCAGCTCAGTAGACGCACATACGGACTTGCAAGTATTTCATCAAACATGTAAAATGTCTGGCGCTTTCATACGCTATGGACCAACGGTACGCCGAAATTAATTGCGAAACCGTTGAATAGAACAATGTGGAAAGCATTCTTTTGCATAATATGTGGCGAAAATCGACATGGAACGAAAAAAATTTCCTTTTTCGAAACGGAAAATTAAGCACTTTTTAAAAACGCTACGCACCATGTTCTCCCAGGCAGTCGTGACTTGTCAATGTCTCTAAATCTGCCAGTATGTCTCTAAATCTGTCTCACTCCAGTTCTTATTCGTAGCCAAGAAAAGGCATTCATTTTCATTATGTATTTTAAATATAGTTTTATGAAGTGGTAGGACAGTCCAGAGCAATTTGATTGAATCAACTGAGTGCAAGGAATTCAGCCTGCTCGTTACAGTATATGCTACAATGGTTGGGAATCCACTGAATGATAGCGCGGTGTTTCCTTGTGAACTAATTGCTTGGATCAATCCCAAGTTATTTTAAATTGTGTTATTACAAGCACATTTTATGTTAAAGCAGGACATTTCGTTCCTGATATTTTGGGATTGCCATTTTAGTCCGGTTAATGTTCCTTTCATTCATCATTTCTGTTTTAGATATTGAAATTTAAACTATTTTATGAAGTATGCAAAACATTTCAATGCAATTGTAATGATTCTAATTTCTATTTCATTAATTATTGGCTGCTAACATATAACCTCTTTTCATTTTCTTCAAGGTAGGAATTAATTGAATTCCAGATTGCAATGCTTGGAGGCATATAAATCATTATTATTTTTTTGTCAGTTGATCCAACTTAATCATAATATTTTACATGTTGTGGACAACCTATTATAAATATTCTTAAAAATTGAGATATTTAATTCTACACTGAATAATTTTTGAATGCTAAGTAACCATTCAAAGCTCAGTCAATGGAAATAATAAATAAATAACTTACTATATTTAGGACCATTGAATTGGGGGAAAAAACTAAGAAGTGGGATGGAAAATCAAAATAGACAAATTATTACAGCGACTGAATCAGGAAGGAATGGCAATGGGACCAAAACGCTACTTAGATATGTGTTTTAATACATTACAAAAGTATGTTTAACTTACTGTATAGAAAATAATTTATCAAATAATAATTAATATATTTTTAATAATTAATATAAGTAGTTCTTTAATATAAAAATTATTAATATGATTAATAATTTCAATTAAAAAATAATTCAATAAATATAGAAATAATCTAGGAAATGAAACCTGGACAACTGCACGGTATGAAGATAGATTTGAACCCTTGAAAGAAGAATTCAAACAAATTTAAAAATAGAGAAGCTACATAAATCAGTTGTAGAGCCACTTCATAAGAAAAGGGTCTCTATAAGAAGAAATGATCTAAAAAATGATGAAATTGAGGGAAATGATGAAAGAAAAGTCATTTACAAAAAGAAACCTGAGAATTGTTAAGATAAGAACCTGTAGATTGTTTACGAGAGGCCAGTTCCTTCTTGGGTTGCAGTGTAAATAAGTAAAAATTAAAACAAAAATAAAACTGCATAACTCAATATTCTTTTTTGTCAAAAAGAATATTTACTTTAAGAAATAAGATCAAGTTAGAAAAGCTAAAATAAACAGAATGATTAATAACTGCAATTTTATTATGTGCTTTTATGATAGCATACAGGTGGAGAGACCTACACGTCAGAGTGACTGCTGAACTTTTGTTTCTCAATGGCTTCTGGTGCCATCCACTTGACAGGCAGCTTCTTCCGGGAGTCGATGCTGCTCAGGTAGTACCCCGTCTCATAGGCATCTCTGGAGAGGCCGAAATCAGCAATCTTTATACGATCCTTGTCTACCATCAGGATATTTCTTGCTGCCAAGTCCCTGTGGATCAGTTTCAGATTGGCAATATATTCCTAGAACGAAATTAAACTTTTTAAAGCAATGATTTGTTTCTATATAATGCATATTTTTTTAAATAAATAGACAAGCTTCAAAAAAAATGAACAGCCACAACATCCAATAGAGAAATAAGGTTATAACATAGATTAAAAAAGATATTTCTTTTATCCAGTAAACTGAAAACTGCTTCATAACAGCTCTAAATATTCAATGTTCATCCCAATAACAGTAACCAAGTACAGTTCTTAAGGTAACACTACTGTTTGGAAATTGCTCCCTCTTTTACAAAATAATCTATAAATAAAAAAGCACCTTCATGTAATTTACTTAATGAAACTTAAAATACTGTCCTCATGGTTGTGGTGCTGTGCGACTATATAAGAATGAATATATATATATATATATATACAGTGAAACCTTCTGTTATGGACACTACTGCATAACGGACGCCTCTCATTACGGACATATTTTTAATTCCCCGGGAATCTTCTATGAATAAACAATTACGTACATTCTCCGTAAAGAGGACACTCCCGTAACCGGACGTGGACAGTCATTTTGGTCCTGAAACTTTATTTTCTATCTCTTCAACCCGGACACTACTTTTTCTAAATTTGAAAACAGAACTATTTTTGCTTTAAATTGCAAGCTAAAAAAAAATTCAACTTTTCACAATTTTCAAAGCATGTAAATTTTTTGCCTTATCCATAACTAAAAATATTGTTAAGCTATTTCACTACTGAAGAATCCATCTTTCTCCTGTCACCTTGCATTATCTATCTAAAGAACGGAGAGAAATAGTACTGCTCTCCTAAAATAATTCGGATATCGGAATCTTTTGATCTTTTCATCTGAAACCACATACGTGATGAGACCCCTCAAGTTGAGATGACATTTTAAATGCTCTAAGTGCTTCTTCCCCATTGAAAATTTCTTTAATTTTCTTATCAATTTGAAGACTGTACTTAACACAACTGGGGTAAAAAGAGAACAGAAGTATAATCTTTGAGGTGTTCATATAAATGAAACATCTATTCAGACACTTGATAGCTGATGAATTGTGAATAATCAACTCAATAGGTCCTCATGACTTACAGGTATGCATTGCTTTTCTTTTTCTGTGCATCATGGAAGGTTTACTTTCAAGAAGGTATTAACCATGTTTCCCATCAAATAATAAGTAGGTGTCAGGGGATGTAAACGTAATAATTAAAACCAACTGAGGACTGAAAGCTACTATTCGGTATCATATGTCTTATTTGAGTATCTACGCTAATAGGAAAATTATATTCATTTACAGCTACATCTAGAATGATGTACAGTAGAGAACCGATTATCTGTAACGATCGGGACCATCGCGATTCCGGATAACTGATTTTTTCCGGTTTTCTGAATCGCTACAAAATGCCGTTTTTTTAATGTTTATAAAACGAAACTAAAAAATTCTTTTGAAATAGTTTTAGAAATAATAAAAAATTATAAATAATAATACACTTAAGTTTAAATAAGGAAAGAAATTATGAAATAAAAATTATATACAGGCTTATTATGTTATTATTAACATTAATAACATATATAAGCTATTTGTGCTCATGTGAGATTCGTTTACGAACGGCTTTTGATCTGTCCTCTAAATCAGTTCTTTCGTCAACTTGATATGCCGTACGCTCTAAATAACAAAATGGGCTCAAAATCTTGCAGGGGGAAAAAAATTTTTTAATGGAAGAAAATTAATTTCCGATTCTGAATTTCATTCCGGTTATCTGGTTTTCCGGTTTTCTGATTTCCGGATAAGAGGTTCTGCACTGTATTTATATCAAACCTTTTTATATATTCTTTTTTATCTTTCTTAAAGTTTACATATATATCCTTGTAGATAGTTATTGTAGATTATTTAATTATTTCTGCATGTTTGAAAATATTCTAAAAACAATTTACGGTGTTAAACTTTGTTATTAGGGTACCCATCCCGTAAACAGACAACTCTCATAAACGGGCAATTTTTTCGGTCCCAAGAATGTTCGCTTAATGGAGGTTTTAGCTTAATGTCCGTTTAACGGAGGGATATATATATATATATAACGTTGTTTCCGAGTGGATGGATTAAAACAGGTCTTAGGCAGAGAAGGAGGGTACAAAATTTATTAATTAATTATTAGACAGAGAGCAGTAGTGTACACGAAAAGTTGTGCTTCTTCATTATATGTTAGGGAAAATCTTGCAAAGTAAATCTGTAATATGTTTCAATTTAGGGAAAGAGGGAAATCTTAGTAATTGTATTTGGTTTATCAAATAGGTCGAGCGATTCCCACAAAGAACAAAGGGAAAAATATCTTGCTTTTAATTATATGCATACTTGAGCTACAGGTTCAGACCCGAACACGAAGTCCAATCTTGTCTTCTATGCAGCAGACATGAAATAATAATTAATCCAAAATATTACATTTTAATGTAATTAAAATTAAATAATTAAAAGTTACATAAAATAAAAAAGCATATCTCGCCGACGATTGCGAGTGAGAAAAGTGTGTTTAACAGATGGACAGCATCGCATGAACAAACTTTTGCGTGAATGTTTATATCTTAACAAAACTACAGTTCACTTCAGTTCAAAGTTCAGTTAGTAGAAGTTGAAGTATCATAGTCTCATTTCACAACTGCGTCAGGGGGCAGTTGTTGTTTGGGAGTTTGACTCAGTAGTGAGGATACCGCAGAGCCAAAAATAGATTTAAGAACAGAATGCGAATTTAAAAGTGTGAGAATGTGTTTCGATTAGGTAAATAAAATAAAAGAAAAGGATATTCAGAAAAGAACTAACATAAAAAGATCAATTGAAGCTTATTATGTTGCATCCCCCCTCGCCGAAGATTTTTTAATTACAATCCAAAATTTTAAAAATTATCTATTTGCAAAATCTTTACTCTAATAGAAGCACAATTAAAATTAAAAGAATCATATTTACAGTTTTAAAAAGAGATAAAGTAATATGACTTATACAGGGGTGATTGTGAACCCAAGTCAAAATTCCGGAAAATTTCTTGAGTTTAAAAAAATAAATAAATAAATAAATAAAAAATAATAAATTTTAAATTGAAAAATTAGAAAAACATTTAAACAAGGTTTTTTTCTCTTTTTTCTCAATATTTCTTAGTTTACTTAAAATATATATTTAAAATTTTACACATACCTATACCATTTATACATACCTATGATGACCTGGAGAAGTAATTAAAATTTACAAATATGTCTTTCTTTCTTGAGTTTATGATTATAACAACTATTTACTGATAAAAAATTAATATTAATCATGAATATAAGTTTATAAAGTATCTCTCTGGCTCTCCCTTACAAACAAATAAAATAAACTGTGTTTTTAAGTTCCACCTTTGAAAATTTGATTTCCGGAAACTTCTGTGATCAATGAATTTTTGAAACGTCTGGACCTTCAATTTCCGGAAACTTCCGGATCACTGTTAGCAAAAATTCCGGAAATCCGGATTTTTTCCGGAGCACAATCAGCCCTGCTTATAAAAAAATACACATTTGTACACATGTTAAAAATAATAACATAAATTGTTCAAGGAATAAAAAAATTGTAGTAGCGCTACCAGCAAACTTAAAAGTTTGATTTTCATTTTTAATAGTTTTTGTGACTTCAGTTTTTTCAGTTCCAAGTCTTTTGTTTGAAAATCACAACAAAGTTTTTTCACCATAGTATACCTCATAATCACACACTTTAAATAAATCCTTCAATCAAGGTAAAAAACATTAATAAACATTTTTTCAAAATGTGTAAGTTAAAATGTAAAACATAAAATACAAAAAACAGTTTTACAGGAAATATTTCTATCTGAAATTATCTTCAGTGCTGTTTACTTTGTTTGAAAACAAAATAAAATAAAAAATGACATAGTGGTTGATACTCTGATGTCAAAGTACAAAGTAATATTTAAAGTACTATTTGTGTTGACTTTAAATAGTTTTATTAGTCACAATCAAGTATTTGTCATTTTTAATGTTTTTATTTCTATTTTTAATGTATTTTGAGTGTATCCGGATACTATACATTGTAAGTTTGTGTTTGGTCACTTTATCTCTATGTTGGAATTGACTTTCAGCAATAAGAAACTTTGCTTGTTTACGGAAATGTCTGAGCGATGAACTAAATTACCAACGTTGGACTCAAGCATTAATGTCTGGTTGTTTTTCAATTCAAGTTCTAAAAACATGTATTTTATTCATTTTTCCAAATTATTTGTATTAGTTTCAACATATTTTGGTTTGATTTATAATTTCTACTACACCGCAATTGCATTCAAAATAAAAATATTTTAATGGCATTTTTATCTTAACCCTAAACACTACAGTAAAACAAAAATATAAATTCTACTAATCAATAAATCAGAGAAACTATAACACATAAAACAATAAATATGAAAATAATTTCTTCAAACATTTTTTGTGTCAATCAATTGATTGTTTAATCACTGCACTGAAAAAAAATTCAAGAAAAACAATTTTAAACAGTAAATACAATCAATGTATAAAAATTAATTGTTTCAATGGAAACATCAAATATTAGGGGGGAAAAAATTTTAAATCATAATCTATGATTTTTGTTTATTTACAAGAGTGCTTTTTTTTTTTATTAATCAATAAAAATTAAAGAAATTGTTTTATGAGAATTGTAAAAAAAAATTACCACAGAGAATATGTGAAAAAGTTCGAATTAGTCCAAGAAGATATTTTCAAAACTGCAACATCATAGATAAAGTTCGTTGAAATTCCATGAACAAAATTCCAAAAGCAAAGAAGAGAGTTGCTAGGGAAAAAATTTGTTTCTTCGTTAAGATGATTCATAAATTAACACCGAGAGTGAAGGAGAAATTGAAGCTTATTTTTCTTTGAGTTCTGAGTAGGAGGGAGGGAATGTAGAACATCTAAGTAGACCATCGTAAACCATTCCGGGATGTGAAAACAATTCATTGACGATAAAATCCAGAGTAGCACTGGGAGAGGCAAAACTAAGCTTTGTGTAAGCCACTTGTCAGGTGCAATAATGCATTTATAAAAAGGATGGGATTTCAAATCGTAAATTTTTTAAATTCTATCAGAAGTCCAATGCAGTTATTCTTTTCATTCCAAGGGGGTGAAATATATTGAAACTCAGCTCCCTAGTAGTATTCATTTCCTTCAGAACGTAGACATAACATGCAGCATAGACAAATGGAAATCGATGATCGTTAAGTTCCACTGGGCGTAGGTATCATTTACATAAACAAAAAGTTTGATGATTGAAACATTTATTTTGTGTTGAAGATACTCGATGAATTATGAATCGCCATGAGTTGCAGAAGAATTTGACTTGATAAATTTTCAACTGTCCATATGAATGAGATATTCATATTTTTGATGTACCCTCTTCCGATTGATTTAATTTCAAAATTTCAGATGATTACTTTAATGAGATATTACATATCTTTGATGTACCGTACCCCCTTCCCGACCGTTTAATCCTGGCGACTTATAACGTCGTTGCCGAGTGGAAGGATTAAAGCAGGTCTTAGGCAGGGAAGGAGGGTACAAAATTTATTTATTAATTATTAGACAGAGAGCAGTAGTGTACACGAAAAGTTGTGTTTCTTCATTATATGTTAGGGAAAATCTTGCAAAGTAAATCCGTAATATGTTTCAATTTAGGGAAAGGAGGAAATCTTAGTAATTGTAATTGATTTATCAAATAGGTCGAGGGATTCCCACGGAGAGCAAAAGGAAAAATATCTTGCTTTCAATTATATGCATACTTGAGTCAAAAATAGATTTAAGGACAGGATGTGAATTTAAAGGTGTGAGAAAGTGTTTCGATTAGACATAAACATAAAAAGATCAATTGAAGCTTTTTATGTTACATATACATACATATATATATCCAAAAATTTGACAAAAAAAAGTGGGATTTTTAAACTTGTAAGCCATGTGATTATAATTCCCGATTACTAATTTTAAAATTGTATGAATATGAATCACATGCAGGATTTTAAATTGAGAGAATATGAATCCCAATATGAGGCTTTTAAATCACGTGAATATGAAACTACATCAAATTTAAAAAATGCGAAAATACAAACCATGATGCATAATTTTTAGATCATGTAAATATGAATCACGATGTATAATTTTTAAATCACACGAATACGAATTCCAATGTCTAATTTTTAAAGCATGTATAAATACGAAAATCGATGTTTGATATTACAACTGCAAAAATGAATCAAGATATTGGATTTTAACAGTAGAAAGACTGAAAGTTAATATATATCTATAATGCCCAAAAGCAGTCAAAATGACTGGATTGTAAAAGAATAAATGATGTGTAAAGAAATTTGCTTAAAATTAATTTTTAATATTTTGTATATTATTAACAGTTGTATAACAAGTTATTAGTAAATATTAACAATAAAAAAATTATATGTTGTACAAAATTCTAAGAAATTGCGTCTTTTTATACATCATTGTTTTTCTAATTGAATATAAAAGCAGTCAAAATGACTTCCTTAGGCAATCTAGTGTTAAGCTCGCGTGTATACCAATCATCGCTACATAGGGTTTTAAAAGCGAGAAAATTCAAATCGCGATATTGGATTTTTTAATCTCGTAAATAAGAATCGCAATGTACGATATTTAAATCTCCTGAATAAGAATCGCTATGTTCAACTTTCAAATCAGGTAAATACAAAAATCGATGTTTGATAGTAAAATCGCGATTTTAAAAATGCCTAAATACAAAAGGTGATATTGGATTTTTAAATCTTGTAAATAAGAATCAAAAAGTACCATATTTAAATAGCGTAAATAAGAATCGCAATGCGCAACTTTTAAATTAGGTAATCGTAAATAAATATAATTATTTTATTTCAAAGACTGAATTTTCAACAAAAAAAACAGGATATTTATTTTTAAAAAAAACCTGAAACTTTTAGAGAATCGGAGTTTTTGATAAAAAGGATGAAATCTTCTAAAAAGTGGAAAAATCTCATCCCTGTATAAAGGTCAACCAGTTTTATCCCAAGGAAATGATTTTTAGAGAAACTTCAGAGGGAGGAATGAGGACTTCAATTCTTTCGCTCTGCAGAAAATTAAATTTCTCATAAAATATTTTAGCTTGTGTTCTTTCAAGTTGCCTTTTACTTCACCCCTAGTTTGAAACAGTTGCTCCTGAAATTCATACTTGATTTGGGGATTCATTGAGTTTTCTCTGGTAAATCTCATATGATTGCTGGCAAAAGAAATTTTCTAAAAAATTATTATTATTATTTGTACATAAAAGACAATTAAAAGACTTATTCTCATGCACTAAAGTAACCTTTACAAAATTTAAAAAGAGAAAGAGAAAACTTTTTATCCGATAATTTTTTTTTCTTCTCATCAACACATAAAAGAATATATACATTGAAAAAATTTCAAATGATTCCTTTTCCGCACTTCATCGGATTGAAAAAAAGGAATTTTAAAACCTTGGAATTTCTGACATCAGTTGAAAAAAGGTTAATCATAAAATTACGTGTATTTACGACAAAATGGGGTGAATCGAATGCAACAGAAAGAAAGAGTTCGAGAATCAAGCGTTACAATAAATAACATGGTATTAAAAATATCGAAATTTCAAAAAATATGCAAATATTAGTAATGATAACTGGCAGAAAACTTATTGAAAAAATGGTTGAATTACCACTTTAAATAGTGAATATTGAGCTATGTGATCTAATTTTTTTTATCGTAATATTGGATTAAAAAAAATAAGGAGACAAAATCATCAACAACAATCACTGCAATAAAAAAAAATAAAAAAATTTTAATTTAAAAAAACTTTCTTGAAACTCAGCATGGATTTAGCGAAGATCGAGCATGCAAAAAGTATTTACTAATATGTGCAATTCAAATCTTTTGTTTCCTAATAATATCGTATGCAAATAAAAAGATTTAAAAAGTCATGTGGATTTCAGTGACAATAACAGTGATAAAAGTCATACGAAAAAACAGTGGTATCGTTGGGTCAAAAAGAGACTACTAAATACAAGAATTGAATTTTACGTGTCATGATAATAATGTATAAAAATATTGGGATTTTTAAAAATAACATTAAAAAATTCTGAGCAATAGTAGCCAATAAAACGATTGAAACACCGTGTAGATTAACAATGGCAGTGATGCAAATTGAGCGCGTCAAAAAAGTGATTACTCAAACACCAAATTCTCATTTTGCATATCGTAACAGCAAAATTTTAAAAAACATCAAATCAGTTATATATATATATATATATATATATATACAACGA